TTTACCACCGTGGTAAAAGCCAACATTTTAGTCTAGAAATTGAAACCAAAGAAATAAACAGCACTTGACATTAGATTTTTGGTCCTGATTGCAATTTGAACAATTCTCCTCTGGGAATGGTTTTCGTTTACAAATTATCTAATCAACAGAACAGCCAAACTCGACCAAAGAATGCTAAACTAACTACTTATTTTGGACGTTCTTTACCTCCTGTACACTTTCCCCGTTAGAAAACTCTTGGTCGCGTTTTTGGCACTGAGAAAAAATCCAACATGTGGTCAATAAATAGAAAACCAAAGACAGATGTAGAACTTGACATAAGATTTTTTGTCCTAATTGCACTTTGAATCTTTTTTGTCTGGGAATGGTTTTCGTTTACAACTGCAGAGAATTATGCAATCAGCAGAACAGAACAAACCGCTTAAATAATAATTTGTGTTTTAAATCTTTAGCATCTGTTCACGGTCGCTGATACAAAACACTAGTACTAGGTCGTGTTTTTATCACTGAGAAATAAGCCAACATTTGGTGTAAGCCAAAACCAAAGGAAGATACAGCACTTGACCTAAGTTTTTTTTTTGTCCTAAGTACACTTAAAAGTTTAAGGCAGCATGTATTAAGTTACCAGAGTTTTGAGTAAAAACAATGCCTTATTTACTGCTAAGTACATTTAACACAAAACACCTTTATGTCAAAGGTTATATAATTCTCGCTTTGAATTTCTCGTTTAATTGTTATTACAATAACTGTAATTGTAAAAACCAACATTCCATTGCGCGGTTTGTACCGAGATTGTTGCAAAATCGCTAGTTTAGCGTTCTTTCGTCGAGTTTGAACAATAATTCTGCTGATTACGTAACCACCGTTATTATTTTAAAACAACACATTACAGGAATGTTTGAACTAAGAATTAAAACTATGAAATCTGAATTGGCGATCAGTCGGATAAGATTACCTAAGTTTAAAATCGATTTAATAAAATCCAGAAGGGTAGACCGAATGAATTTACGGGCTTTATCATGGTGCATATACGAATGTAGTGAAACTGTTTGTACTTTTAATTCCCATGTGGATTCTCTTTGGCTTAGAACTAAAAACATATAAAACGAAAATCACATATAAGGAAGTGTGAAATCATTGAAGAGGACAAATGTAACAACTTGAAAAATGTTGAAAAGTCATAACACGTTTACGAACGAGATATCAGTGGTAGTTTTGCAATGTATAAAAGCCAATCGATTAAGAGCAAATTTGCTTCTTTTTGTGCCTTCTGACGCGAAAAGAGCTCGGGTGTAAAGCAGTAGTAAGTTTCAAAAATGCTAGGTGTAGTTAAGTGTGTAGACGTGAGAATTTGACAACCATGGTTGATATGACAAACATGTGTATTTAAATATAAGTGGGTGGAAGTGAGACTGACAACCATTGGTGATATTACAAACATGTTTAATTTAAAAAAGGCTCTTCGTTGAATAAGGCGGTGTTTTTTAAATAGACATTGTAATTTGGACCGATTGGGTCTGATGAAAGGGCCTTATTGTCTGAACCCTTTTAAGGTACAATGACACAATTGATTAGCAAACATCTACTTAAACGTCAATTGCTGTTCTTTCATCGCTTTATACTGGCAATAAGATCTAGAGTATGCGATGATAACAAGTGTCTATACAATCTATGCTCTCGTGATTACAATACCATTCTTGTTACTAGTCACAATGTTGCTTCACGAAGAAATACATGTATCAGATCTAGAATATAAAAAATGTCAGTCGGTTAGCTAAATGAATTGAAAAATATTGAGCGATACGGGACGACTTAGCATTCACTTGACCTGAAAGAGCGATGGATGAGAGAAGTGGATTTCGCGGGATTTCGCGCGCGAGTGCTTTTGTTTTGGCGCGAACTCAAGTATATTTCAAAATGTCTTTCGCGGAATTTGTAACAGACTTGTGTACCACCTTGTACAACAGAAATAAAAAGTAGAAACTTCTATTGAATTGTTACATACTAGGGTTTCGTTCGCAGACAGAAGATCGAATTTAAACAAAATTCACCCGTAACATATACTTGTGACAATGTTTTCCTTTTTTTCCCCTTAAATTCACGACGCATCACGCATGTCTTTTAGCTGTTTTTCACGCGTCACGCGCCAATTTTTGCCCTTATCCCGTGTCATGCATTTATCCCTTTGGCGTTTTCATCCATTGACTTATAAATTACAACCACCTGGCCTTGTACAGCACAATAAACAGTTCCACGTGAAGGTGAAGAGGGGGGTGAATAGGTTTTCGGATCGACGGATTCGACCTTGAAAAGCGCACGGATTGTGGATTTTTCCGGTAAATCGAGCGGATTCGCGGATTTTGAAAACACGGTGGATCGTGCATCAGCTGTGAATTTTGGCGCGGATTCCGGATTG